TACTGTGGAAGAGCCATGGAAGAGCAGCATAGATGCTGTGCAAGAGCCGAAAAAAAAGCTGATTCCAGAATTAAAGAAGTTTAATATAAAAAAAATAAACTAAGATTCTAAAGCCCAGAATAAGGACAGGTCTGGTAGAAAAGATTTACTCCCAATTTTATACCTATAAGTTTATCCCTGATATACTAGAAAAAATGGGCACCAGATATGAAATACTGCATTACACATTTATACTCGCGGACAGTATTTATTTATGGCAGTTTCATTATTATGAGTAGTGAAAAAAATTCTGACATCCTCTCAAGTCCTCTGTAGTTGAGATTTGCTTGAACTGAAACAAAAAGATATGGAAGAACTATAAAAATAACCCCATCTGTTCACTAGTTCCTGTGATATGTCTTTATAGTGTTTATTCTGTGTGGTCTCTGGATAAGAGCATAAACCAGGACTTTTGTCTCTTTCTTCAGGGTTCCTGTTGGATTAGCACTGTCCCAGTCCCTGTGGTTCAAACCCTCACCACGCTCTTCGCTTTGCCCCACGTGTGTTTGGCCAGCCCCTCTCCCTGTTTTCCTTGCTTGTTGTGCTTAGAAAATACTGAGAGCTGCCAGGACTCTTCCAAAGAAAGCTGCTCTTGATGCATCCAGCTTGTTTTATTGATTTTTTTTTTTTAATTTCATATATATTGTGTTTCCATGGTGCTGACTTTTTACCTTTAAAACTTTATCATGTGGGTTCACTGCAAATGAACATTAATGGTGTGGGAGTCAGTTCCTGACCTGCATCATTACTTTATGTTTAATGAAACAGGAGATCAAGATTGTGCTGTCTTTAACAGTCTACTCAGTTTTGCACCCCTCCCTTTTTCTTTCTTCTTTCCAGTTTTCTTATCGTTGGCTGAGGGTGTGTGGAAGTATGCAATTCCTGCATCTCAAAGGGATACGGTTCTGATGGCTTTGCACTTATGCTATAAAAGGTTTATAATATTAAAACATTCAAATATTATAATATAATATAAGATTATTTCTGGGTTCTAGAGTAATTGGAAATGCCAGAATTGATAAGCAGGAAAAATTAAAATGAGAGTCCCACCTTCCTCTATCTGCAGCAAGATGATGGCATCAGATTTTGGGTTTGTCCAAATATGTAAGAAAAAACAGCCCAAATCACAGCAGACTTAATTAATTGTCCTGTTTTGAATTGTGCCCATCCTGTTTTAGCTTAAGTAACAGTGGTTGTGGTTAAGCTATTCCTCAAAAGGATTTGCTTTGCTTTTTTCTGCTTTTGTTCTTTGTGTCTTATTATAGCTTCAGTCAGCTCTTCTGATTAGACCAATTGTATTCCAAACTTGAGGATGTCAGAGTCAAAACTGCAGAAACAAAACAAGAAAAGCAAGGCCCTTTCACTTAAAAAAGTTAAATCACTGCACAGCGCGAGCTCTGTATGTCTTTTCCTTGCTAGGCTGGTTGAGTTCTGTGCCATAGTCTTCTGTGGGCTTTGATGGATGGCAAATTTCCATACAACTGTGCAGGTTTGCACGGTGCTATATTCTTGATCAGAATGGTTGTCTGAATTCTAAAGACCCTAACATATCTCCTCTTGCTCGGAAGTTAGGCTGTGCAAGGGATGAATTTATACAGTTAGTACCTCTGCTTACATTTTAAAGGGTATTTAATGATTTACTTTATGTCCACTACCTAAAAGGACGTTAATATTAGCCTAAGTTTTGCTTCATTGTATTCCAGCAGAACTTGAAAAGTAATTTGGGCTAAACAAAGACAGATCTGTACTAAATGAAGCAGAAGCGGTTATTCTCATTTGTGCAAATTTTGCACTGGTTCTGAATGAGCTAACGTGTCTACATCTCGCAATGCGGCATAGTAAAAGAACATTACATTGTGCAGCAGTGCAGCCACGCTACATCCTGGGTAACCGCTCCGGAGTACCCCTACCCTGTGTGGACAGGGTGTCTCTGCACTGGGCTGAGTTCAGACTCAAGTAAGGACCCTCAGCACCACAGGTTGTGGCATCTCATGGTTTTCTGCTGTGGCAAATTCTGAAGGGATTCTTGGGCTCTGCAGGTTTCTGTTTACTGTCATTTCATACAGTCTGTTAACTTCTTCTGAATGAAACCGTCCTAAGTTAGTAGTTTAATCTTTTCTAAGATATTTTTACTGGTGGTAAATGCTGCCCACACATAGGAAGACACAATTCTGCCCTAGACAGCTCTCAATATAAACTTCAAAGCATATAAAGAACATGTAATATAAAGGGCAATGCTTTAATTACTAGAACTCACAAGAATGCAGCAAGGCTAGAGGAGTAGGTAATGTTCATACGGTAGGATTAGCCTTGTTTGTCTGGAGATCAGAATCAAATGTTGATTAAAGTCATAAATGAAGAAGAAATGGATGATGTTCTTATGATCTCACCAGGAAAGCACGGCGGTCACACCCCAGGTTGGATTCTCTCTCTCTTGTATTTGTGGAGACCAACTCCTCTCTCTTTTTTTCTTACCCCATCTAAAAATTACAGAAGGTAGTAATTCACACATTAGTCTTTCTGATCTCTGGCATGCACTATGGAGGTGCAAAGTATTGCTATAGCAGCATAATTTATCAGCATTAAAATCTCTGACATATCATTCTCCCAAGGAAGCTAGCAGTGAAAACTGAAAATGGTACAGTGTGATCTCCTTCTGGTAGCAATGAATGTAAAAACAACGGGAAACAGAAGGAAAGTAATATCTTACTGCAACCCTAAATTCTAATTTCCAAATCCTGCACAAATCATCTAACAGTTGTCAAGATGTGAACTACAAGGTAGTGAAACAAAACTGTGATCATTTGCCACAGAAAGTATTTGTTTTTTTCCTTATCAATTCCCTGTCCAGAGTTCAAAGCTATTACTGGATTTGAAGAAGTGGCTTGATAATATGATGACATATTTGTGGCTAGGCTGGAAGTGATAAGGAAGTCCAGTCTCTTGCTTCTGGGCAAAAACTGCTCACCAGTGGTGTTTAGGGAAATACTGCATGATTGGCCAGTTGCATATTTTTTATCTTTTCCTTCACAGTAAATATTGGCTCGTCTCCATAGCAGGCAACCAGAGGCCTGGTCTAGCCAGAAGAACAAGAGCACGAAGAGTTGATATCATGAGTATGAGGCTGGCTAAGGTCTGAGTGCCGAGGGAAATATCTTAGCAATGTTCTAGATAATGCAAATCCTCAAATTTGCTGTTTCATAGTCATGTTTCTCTCTACTATAAAAAATTCTCTGAAAGTATTTCTCACGGACAAAACACTTTTGAAAAGGCCTTTGTTATCTTATGAGTTGGCTTTGTGTAAGATGGCAAAGTGTATCACCTGATGGCCTGTGTTATATACAGCATCCTAGCTCAATCATGCAAATAGCTCCTGGAGAAATATTCAGTTCACATGAATGCATGTTACATACCTCGTTTGTAAGTGAAGTGGCACTTAATAAATGTGAAACACCTTTGGTTATCTAGATGTTTCAAATTCTTGATGCACTTAGAAACAGGAAAGTCACTTCCATAACAAGAGTCGCACAGACTGCCCCAGGAAATTTTGCAACCTGAGAAAGACATAATGTGACCCATGAATATCCTAGGTGGGGAAGGAGTGTTTAAATAGCATGAACAAATGACAGGCTAGATATAAGTTAGACTGTGATTATCTTCCTGCAAGACACATAAAGGGTATTAATTTATAAAAGGGAGCTGCTAAAGGCTACATGACCTATATCTATTCCTTAAGGTTGACTGGAGAAACTACTGAGACTCATGCCTGGTGTGGAGGAATGCTCTGTGGGTATGCCTGGGATGCTGGCATAGCACCCAGTGGAAAGATATCCATTCTTCTCACATTTCTTTCCTCACAGGTGTCAACATCTGTGCTTGATCCAGTGGATGTCTTATCCCCTTTCCTGGGGACGGGGAAGGGAAGCAGCGTGTGCAGAACCTCAGGTTGTGCAGGGATTTGCCAAGTTGTTTATATCTAGCTAATTTATTTCTTTGGTGTGACTGTGTGTAGAAGGAACACTTCTTTAGGCTTCACCCCAAAATGCTGGTTTCTCTGTAAAATACTACCCCACTTTCTCTGGCTAATGTGCTTGACCCACTAAGACTATTCTCATATGCTGTAAATACTGGACACCACAGTAGTATTATACTTTTATTGCCTTATTTAGCCAAGAGATTAAATGTAATGTTCAGATTATGTAGAACATTAACTCCTAACAATAAGCAAATAACACATTAGAAGCTTTGCTATTAAAATGTTTAGTGCTGGCTTTGCTGTGGAGCACTACAGGAGCTGTGACTTATGTTCCATGAGGGAGGAGGCACAGCGGAGAAGAAGGCGCTGTATGTTCAGTGCAGGGGTCTCTTTCCTCCTTAAAGCTAGTGCATGTAGCTGCTGAGTCCATATGCTGTGTTTATGCCTGCTTTATAGGGTATTTTTACGTGTAGCTAAAACACCTGAGTCCAATTCTGCCAGCCATGGCTGAAAATCTGGGGGGTTTCGGTCAGGTAATGAAGTTCTGGCCTGTCTCCTGGTGGCTGGCGAGTGGGTGGTGTCTCGTACCTGTGCCTGCGAGATGGGGCTGCCAGCCAGGCCAGGCTGGGCCAGCCGGAGCCCCGCATCGCAGCCTCTCCTCCCGTCAGGAGTTGCAATGTGCTAGTCTTGTCTTTCAGACAGTATTTTTATGTGAGCTGATGGTTGCCAGGGTAACGGAGGCTTCGGGGAGTCTCGCGCCGACGCAGCGCCCTGGCCTCGGCGAGCACTGGGAGCAGATGTTGGCTGCGAGCTGGGGAGCCGGGCTGCCAGCGAGGAGAGGAGCGGCACTGCCAGCAGCCGCACATGAAGGGAGCTGGAGAGAACAATTTGCCTGGCTGCACTCGGTGCAAGAGAGCAGGTTCAGGGCTCGCTCTCTCCTTCTCCCTTTTTTGTTGTAATTTAGTATTCTTGTCTCACCCCACAGGGGTTCCTCAGCCGTCGGCTTAAAGGCTCCATCAAAAGGACAAAGAGCCAACCGAAGCTTGATAGGAACAGCAGTTTCCGGCACATTTTACCTGGCTTCAGGAGTGTGGACAATGAAAGGTAAGGGGACGTTTCTCGGAGGGTGGGGAGGAGGGTGTGTGAGAGAACGAGGATATTGATCTCTCCAGGTCTTGTTAATATCTTGCTTATCTTATTCAGAGCAAGGGCCACATCTGTGATAGAAGTAGACTTGCTTAATTGCAAGAGGGGTGATTTTAATTTGTTGGCGAGTATACAGTGCAAGCCCTCCCTTTTTAGGTTAAATAACATGTACAGAGAAGCCCGACTGCTCTGCTTTCTTTTCCCCAATAAATCCTAAGTTGATGCACCAGCATATAAATAGCACATAGATGCAGCAGCCAAAGCCGACTGATGCAGGTGAGGGAGGGAGGGAGGGATGCTCACACACTGGACTACATTGAACATTACTGGGTTACACGTTGTATGAACAATAACATAGAACAATGACAACCATAATCTCCCCAAATCCCTCTCTCCCCCTTCCACACACATACATCTTCAGCATAGCCGTTGACTGCTGTCATTATACTGAGATGAATTCTCGGCATGTGGCCGAAGCTGCTTTTTCTGTCTAAGCCATGACAGGATCTTTCAGTCCAGGAGGGATGTGTTGCAGGGAATGTGCAGATGGATCAGAGGATGACATGGGATGGCCAGTATTGGAGCAAATTGCAAACAAAATAAAGGGGAAATGAGACCTTGGTTTTATTCTTCAGCTCAGTTAGAAAGTAAAGTAGCTCTTTAGTGGATTTGTATGTATTATGTACGTGTAGATTTATGTCAGTGTGTGCATGAGACAGACATACGTTCTAGGTAAATTTATGTGTAAATTCACATGCAGATCAAGGTCATGGTTGGGCAAGACAAACTCCATTACCAACCACAGAAACAAACTAGTGGTTTGCTTCCAAAAGGAAGATCTTTCAACCTTACGTGAACCATTCTGGGGAATGACATAGAAGTATCGAAGTGCCAAGAAAAGTCTATGTCTGAAAAATACGCCAAATTGGACATACACTGATGTAACCATTTTGTAGCAGTGGCATTTTAGAATATCAAGACGGTACTTTAGAATCCATTGGGTAAATGCTTCACTTTTAAAAGCAATGATAACTTTTACTTTGTTTTAGCTATACTTATTCATTGGAGGGGCTGTGAATTTCTGAAGCCTGCAAATGACAATTGTTAATCTGGATTTTTCCTTACCTGACCTGTTACAGCCTCCTAGGCTTTTTCCTTCTGGATTCTGCAAGTAAAAGGATTGTGCTGGTCAGTGCAGTGTAATATTTCAGGGGTTACTATCTGGGAGGACAGAGTTGATTTGATTCCTATGCTGCAGTTTTCACAAACGCTCGAAGTAGGGCACTGTGTTCCGTACGGAAGACAAGCGAGTGTAGCCGGGCGGCCGGGAATCTGCCTACACTGCTGCTGCTTCACTCAAAAAACAGGCAAATTAGATAATGTTTTCTTTCTGCCTATATCAGTTTTGTTTCTTTCTGTGAACTGGCAGTATAGGACACGGGAATTAACTGTTTCGGCCAGCCCTGCAGCCAAAGTAATTTTCCCAAATTAAGCTTTGTAATTTCCCTGCCCTGCCAGCGCAGGAGCCCTGGAGCTTGCTGGGCAGTGTCCTTTCAGACAGAGCCAGATTTACTGCAACTTTTCTTTAAAGAGGTTCAGTGAATGGCTGTAGTGCATTTTCAGTGTAGAACTTAAAGGGTGGGTTAGAGGAGAGGTAGCATTCGGCAGCCTTGAATAAAAACCCAAGGATTTGCTTATATGAGTATTTAGAAACTGAAAATGAAGTCTTCCATTAGGCAGGTATCACTCGTAAATACACTTCATCTATGATACACAGACATGCCCTGATCTGGAGGAAACTGTCTGACACTAGGTACCTTTTGACAGCAAGCTTTTAGTCCCCTAGCTGTCATAGTAGTGTCAGATCTATAATGTAAGCAAGTATCCTTCTGCAGAAGATCTTGGCCTTAGGTACTGTTGCTCTCGGAGAGGTGAAAGAAAACAGCAGCTGGGCTTCCCAGTCATGCGTAGGTTTTGGTTACAGAAGATAATTTTATCTTCCTGAACATTCCCATCTACGTCTGCTAAAATGCACAATGCACTCACTTCTGTACATGAAAGGGCTCAAGTCTTTTAGATCGCTCTCATTCATTTTCTGCTGTGCTTCCTTGTCTTTCTTCAAATCCAAGAACTGTTTCAAAGAAGCATCTGGTGTCGGAATATTTGCCTCTTAAATACTTGATTCTTGACTCCATCTTGTAGCCAAGCTGATTGTTCGCGAACTGCTCCTTTGCTCATGGAAGTAATCATTATAGCAGCGTTCTGTTCTGGAGCTGTGTAGAATTTTTGCGGGAGATGCCATAGCAAAAATGAATAGTGCAATAAATGCAGTCACAACACTCCAGGTTGAAATATTGAGCTATAGTAGATCATAAATGATTCTGTTACTTGGCTTCTGTGTATCTAAATTGGTACGGTGTCATGCCTCTCAGTTTCTTTATTTTTCCTTTTCTTGCATGTCCTGTTTATCCTGCTATGTACAGCGGATGCATATGAATATATGAAATGTGCACATACATGTACGGACAGCTAACTAGGTGGACATGGCATGTATGTAGAGCAGAGAAGAGAATATAAACAAACATATCTCTCTTTTTTATCCCGTGTTTGATTAATGCATGCATTTAAATACATTATGTAAATTTAAAAATGGAAAATTATTACCTCCTACAATAGTGAGAAATTTGTACAGTGTGAGTTTTATAACAAAAGAAAACAAGGAAATGTTTTTAAACATTGGAAAAGTCACAGAATGTCTCACTGGCATGAGCTCAGAATCGCCTTGTTAATTTTGTGCCAGTGGAGTCTGGTTTTCATACCTTGCATTGGCACACAGCGAACGGCCAGGTTTCCAGTGGAGTCTTGCAGAGCTGCCCTTATAAAGCGTGGTTTCTGCGTCCTGGGGAGGAGCTGACAGCTCTGAAATGTGCGGGGGGAGTTTCTTTGTCGAGTTGACGTGCCATCTACCAGGGTTCCATGTCCATTGCCAGGCAGCTGTTTGCAGTTCTGCCATGGCGTGTGCGTGTATGTTCGGAGCAACTATGACAACTTAGAGAATTCTGGTTTAGTAAAACCTTGGCCAACCATTTTTTCTCTATAGGGAACATCTGATGAATTGCTCAAACTGGTGTGTCAGAAAAATACACTGATTATAGTCAAGCAGAGCTTATGTTTGTAGAAAAAGCATGGTTGTTTCTCATGGTATTGGATTTTACGTTGGCTGAGAAGAGACCTTTTGTTTGAAAAAAGGTGGAACAAGGGGTTTGCACTAACTTCAGTAAATTACTGTGGGGTTCACGTTGATGTAGTTGGCCAAATTTTGCCAGTCTTTTACATACTGATTTTTTTCTCGGAGTCCTGTTACAGTAACACTAATAAAATTATTGATTGTGAATAAGAGAAGCAAAGTCAGACCAAGTATAACTAGTATTCTGTATGAGAAGTGCATTAATCTGGTACAATCAGTTTATCTAAATGTGAAATTTAAAGGAGGATTGTGGAACGAGTGCTCCTTTCAATCTGTTGGCTGGTCAGATTGCTTGTTAGAGCTAAAAAGGGTTCCGTTAAAGTGGCTTTTTGCTAACAATGTCTCCTGCATCCTGATTTATTACAGCAGCTAGCAAAGTTTTTATCATGGAGCGCTGAATGTTTGTCTTTGTAGCGGCCTCTCTGGAATCAGCCACAAATCAAGCATTTGGCAGATGGATTTTTCTTAATTGGACCCACATTTCTCCTACAAAATTTGTGATGAAGAAAGTTTCTGGGCTGGGCTTTGGGCACGGGGAGTAGAGCCAGAGAACTGAGAGAAGGTTATTCTGCTGCAGTTGTTAATTACTGTTGTTAGGGCATTTCTGATTGTTTTCTTGTTGTAGTGACCTTTTCAGTCACTTCGTTACAGTAATCTTTTAAAAATAATTTCTGACAGTTTGTCAGGAATTTAGAAACTAGGTTTATATGGGCGTTGTTTTTTTTTTTTAAATCTGAATACATGAACTTGGTCCTCCGAAACGGGCAAAGGCTGCCGTGATTTTACACTAGCACTGAGATGGCAGGGACACAGTGTCACGTCGTGGGACAAATACCTTCAGACTGTCTTGATTTGGTGGAAAATGGGTACTCTGTGTAACTCCGTATTCTGATGTAATCCCCGAGTTGATCATTCCTAGGGACACTTTTCCTCAGTACACCTAGAATTCATTTAATGCTGAAGGACTCTCAATTACTAACATTTGTGATTATTTTGCAAGGTTTTTTTCATAATTCCAGAAGATAACATTCTAGTTAAGCTTTTTCTTGGCATTACAAAAGTCTGAGCATATGGTTGATTGTTAAATGAGCCTCAGCCTTGGAAGGGGTACAGCCCTGCATTAATAACAGCAACGATTTCACTACTGCTGCTTCCTCTTTAAACTACTTTTTTTTTTAATCCCATAAAAATTTTTTGCCTATAACCCACAGAGGGAAGAGGAAGTGTACAAGTCATGTACTGCAGTGCATTTAATTCCTGATCTAGTGCTAATGCAGTCTGCTGTATGTTTTATATATGCTTTCAAATGTTCATAAAGCTTATTTTGATGCAATAGGAGAGCATCAATAACTTATGAACGTCTGTACTCTTACAGTAAACTTAGTTTGTGAGTTCTTTTTAGATCTAATTATCATTTGTTCATTCCCAGCAAACTTGATATGCCATATATTTTTAGGCATGATGAAATTGGTTAAGTTTGATGAGAATGTGGTGAGTGCTGCCTTACAAAGGATGAAGAAGTCGCTCTGTTTCCTTTGGAAAGAGGAGTGACTCATCCTGCGGAACTAGGACATGGGCAGACCCCAGAACGCATGAAGGGCTTTCAGATCTGTGTGAACAAGTGCTGGAGAGCTTCCTTTCTCTTCTGCCTCCTTACTTAAATGGCATTAGCCAGTGAAACTTTCTGAGTAGGAAGACTTATAATAGTAGG